CAGGAAGATTGTTGCGAGTTCGAGACCAGCCTGGGCTACAAAGTGAGCTCAAGGCCAGCCTGAATTGTATAGCAAGACCTTGTCTCAAAAAGACAAACAAAAACAAAAACAAAAATAAAAAACAGAAGTCAAGTACTTTGCACTTGAACATCCAGAAAGATGCCTTAAGGGCATCTCAAAAATTGGCCAGACCCACTCATACAAGTGCAAAATATTTTGAAAGCCTTTGAGAAGACAACTCTCCAGGCTGGGAGTCTCATTAGCAAGAGGTGGCCTAAGAGGCTGTTTCCCAAGGACTTGTTTCACAGTGCCAACCCACTCAGGCAGTAAGAGGGCACTGCAGCTGTGGTCCAAGTAGGCCCAGCTACTACTGAAGCAGGTAGCAGACCTTAGCATCATCCGTGTGATGCTGGTCTTGCCGGCATGGAGAATGAAAGCATTGTGGGGACACAGAGGTTTACATTCAGTTTAAAGGAAGGATGGGAGGCCAGGCCATGGGTAGCAGGGTCCCTGCATATAGACCTGAGAAGGTAATGCATAAAGCTGGAAGAGTGAAGCTACAAAAGAAACCCAGGAAGCTAAATTCCAGGAAAGCTCCAGGCAATGAGAGCCAGCCCAAAGGAGATACACCTTACACCCTGTGGGTTGCAGCCTGGAAGAGCACAGCAGTGGGGCTCCAGCAGACCTTTGGAGCTCACGCTTTGCCAGTACATGCCCTTGGCGCTGGACATGGAGCTGCAGGATTTAATACCCGCCCCTTGGAGTTTCTTGCTTTTAGGATTTGACAGAGACTCAAAGCTAAGAGTTGCTCTGAATCCCAGAAGAGATTCTGAACTCAAGACTGTTGAGCACGTCTGGCAGTTAAGACTGGGGGCTCTTGGAGGTGAACCGACAGTCATGAGATGGACACGAGCCGTTGTGGGTCGGGGGGACCTCGTAGTTTGGATCTGCGATGCCCCCAGAGGCTCATGTGGTAAGGGCTTGGTCCTCTGTGCATCTGTGTTTAGAGGCTGGGCTTGTAGGAAATGCATGGATCATGAGGGCTGTGACCTCATCAATGGCTTAATCCATTCACGGGTTCGCATGTGGTAGGCTATCGAGAGGTCAAGCGGACTAACATCAGGGCAGGGAGAACAGCCCTGTAGGAGAGGTCAGCTGTGAAAAAGATGGGGACCAGTTTCCCTCTGGGGCAGAAAGACAGACTCTAGGGACAGACAGTTAGATGTCTGGGTGTCGAAGGGACATAAGCTAGGGGAATGTGTGCCAGATAATGTTGGTTTCTCTGAAAAAAGGGTGGTAGATTATAACTCTGAAGTGAGGAGGTGTCTCGGTTACTTTTCTCTTGTTGCTGAGACAAAATGCCCAAAACTGAGGAAGGGAAGGTTTACTTAGCTCACAGTCTGTGGAGGTTTCAGTCCATACTCAGCTGGCTCCAAGGCAGAGTGGCACGTGGCAGACAGCAACAGTTCATGGTGGTAGAAAACAGCAAAAGCAACCAGAGCAAAAGGGAGGAGCAGCGGCAAGCAGCCTCTTTCCCTCCCTTACACTGTATGCAAACTCTCCACCCCAGGGTGGGTGTAGCACTCACACCCATAATCCCAGCATAGGACCACAGATCAGTCACGAACTCTAGAAGCCCGCTCCATGAGTGTATGAGGCTTCAGAGGACATCCAGACAAACCATAACAGAATGCGAGGAGGGCTGAATTCCTGAGAAAAGTGGTCCCAGTTTGGGACAATCATGATGGGTAACACAAAAAGCAACTGATGCGGAATATGCTTGGAATACTAAAAAAGACAAGAAAGTCATTCTCAGGGCTGAGTAAAGGCTGGAAATCATAAGTCTGTATCAGAGTCCATCAGCACAAGAGAGAGTCGGTTCCAAAGGAAAGCAGGAGAAAGGGGAGAATGACCGATGGGTTGCACATCACCAGCGCCTCTCCACACCTGCCTTTATCCATTCAGCGCAGTTTCACTTTCCCAGGGCCGGGGTAACTTAGTTCTTCCTCTTCTCCAGTCTGTATTCCAAGCACAATGAGTATGCCGTACCATTTCCAGAACACGCCACGCAGCAGTGCTCTGCCCTAGGACATGCAGCTTCCTCTGTACTTCCCTCCAGCCCTGCTGCCTTCCTGCACTCTGTAGGGAACACGCTGAAATAAATTTGATCAGCTTGGGTCTACATGCTACCAAGCCAATGAGCTGACGCAAAGTAGGTGCTCTATGTGAACTGACTGAGAAAGGGATTGATCAGACACCCTGCAGCAAAAACCTATCCTGTGAGTGAAGCAGTTTCTCACGTATGAAGAAGGTACCCTGTCCTCTCCCCACACATATGTAATAAGTACGGCCTTTTCTTCTTTCTTTTCTTCTTTCTGGTCCTAGAGACTGGACTCAGGGCCCCTCACACATGCCAGGCAAGCACTCCACCACTGAGTCACATCCCTGTATATTATTCCTGAAGTTCTTGTTTCTATAACTAACTCAATCTAAAACTTAAAATGTGGTCCTCTAACTAGCTCCATAACTTGAAAAAAGTAAACATGAACAGCGCCTGTTTTTGTGTTCTCTTAATGGAAGTCAAAGGCGCTGAGGCTCCCACATTAACAGAGAATTTATAGTTTTCGCTGAGGGTTCCTAGCTCTAGGACTACTGCCCTTACCCTGTTACCCTAACAGACAGACGAGTGTCCGGGACTTATTTTGATGGATTTGCCAACATCCCAAGTTACAGAGGCACAGTTACGCTTCTAAACAGATGAAGTAAAAAGGACATGTGGTCTTGATGTTTCTGCCGCTCCTTTCTTAATTCTAAGTTCAGAAATTCCCGATGAACAGTTTCCTCTAGCCATTCTGCCTCCTCCCTTTTAATCATCTCTATCCAGTACTGCGTTAGTCAATCATAATTCAATGAAATTCCCTGAAAAACTAATATGTGATGGACACGAGGGAAAATACAAAATGAATAAAATGAGAAGCTCATCGTCTGGGAAATGAGAAAAACATGTGTAATGCTATTAAACAGAACATGGTAATTGCTTTGATGCAGGTATAGACTTGTTCATTTGTTCAACAATTACAGAAGAACTAATATATACCTGGCATTTTTTTTTAAGTGTACAGAGGATTTAGCAATAAAAGAAATAGTAAAAAAAACTGTAATAAAAATATCATCAAGGAGGAATATAATTAATAAGCAAATGAGCAAACAAAATGAAGCAGACACATGAAAGGCAGCAAGTCCCCCAGACAGAGTCCTCAGGCTTTGCCAGGGACGGGCGCATCAGCTGGACCTAGAGGCCGAGCCCAGAGCTTGCGCAGAAGAGGCGGATGGCCCTGCAGCGCGGGCCGGAAGTCATAGACACCACCGATGTGTGAAAGAACTGGGCAAAGAAGCCGAAATACCTTCTGTTAACCCAGTCAGGAGAGAGAAAATCTCTCTTAAAACATGGGGTAGGCAAAACTTGTTCTCTACATGGAAAAGCTAAGGTACTTTTCTATCCAGTGTTTTCCAGTTACAGAAAAATAAGAATCAGTAGGCAATGAATTTGACTGCATTTTCACTTTAAATCTGATAAATCAGCAAGGGCAACAGAAATAAAGAAACAAAGCCAGGCATGGTGGCACACACCTGTAGTCCCAGCACTTGGGAGGCTGAGGCAGGAGAACCACTGCAAGTTCGACAGCAGCCTGGGCTACAAAGTGAGCTCAAGGCCAGCCTGAACTGCATAGTGAGACCCTATCTCAAAAGGACAGAAAAAAAAAAGAAAGAAAGAAAAAGGTAATAAACAAATTTAAAATTAGTTTAAAATATAGCTAAAATTGAAATAAATTAAAATTTAAAATTAAATTTTATAATTAAAAATATTAAAAATTTAGTTAAGAACTATATTAAATTAAAATATAGTTAAATTAAATTAAAAATAAACGTAAGAACCAAACAAATGAATTTCCAGGCTACTAGTTGCTCAAGTTACAGTTTTTTGTTGTTGTTGTTGTTAGTTTTTTTCTGGTACCAGGAATCGAACTCACGACCTTGCGCTTGCCAGGCAGGCGCTGCGCTGCTGAGCTAAACCCCCAGCCCCTCGAGTTACAGTTTTTAAAACACAATTCTAAGACAGAATAGTTACGAATAAGGGGAAAAAAATCATAATTGGAAAAATCAGCACATTCCCTTTCATATTGAGACTCAATATGTGTGTGACACAAATTAATGTTTACATATCCAAGACCAAGGAAGCATAAATTTAAATATGAAACAAAGCAGAGCACAGTGGCCAGGGGACAGATTGATGGGGATCTCACTTCAGCCTTGCCTGTGAGGAATGCTGGAACCCTGGGCAAGTTACTTGGTCTCCTTACTCATCCATCCATCTGTCTGTCTGTCTATCTATCTATCTATCTATCTATCTATCTATCATCTTTTTGGCGCTGGGGATAGAACCCAGGGTTTAGTGCACATTCAGCAAGCACTCAATCACTGAGCTATATTCCCAGCCCTGCAACTTCCTTCTATGTAATATGAAGGCATAATAATGGTAGCTATACTATCTACCTCAAGGACTCACTTTGAGGGTTAAACTAGTGAACACATGTAAAGGTCTTACCAATGGTGCTGGACCTCTAATGCCATGAGGAGGCAGTGGTTAGTACTGCTGGTATTACTGGAGCTGAGAGCAGTACTGGAGAATCCATATTAGCCCAAGGCACTCTTGAAAAAGTGTTGTTCAATTGTGTGACAATTCTGCTTTCAGTTATTAATACTAATAAATACGTCTTACAATGCAGATAGTTTAACCCTAATTTTGGCTAAGAGTTTAATTTTTTGGATTGTTTATTACACACAATAAATCCTGGCAATGAGTTCCGAAGCCACACAGTCATGCCATCTTTTTAGGGTAAAAGCATTTTTAAAAAATGAGACTTGAAACATCTGTCTATATTTCTCCAGGCTGGAGGTTCCATGAAAATAGAATAAGCAAAAATGTCTATAGAACCTACCAGAATATAAGCTCTCTTGGCAATACGCTTCTGTGAATGCAAGGGTTTCTGTCATGTTCACCAGTGTGTTACCAGTATCAGCACCTGTGCCTGGAACATGACAGGATCTTTTTAAAATAAATGAATAATATTATTTAAAATCAACTGGCTATATTTTACATAAGTGATTAAATGAACATTTGCAGAAAGAGACAGAGTCTTGCTATGCAGTTCAGGCTGGCCTTGATTAGCCCAGGCTGGCCTTGAACTTGCAACGACCCTCCTGCCTCAGCCTCCCGAGTGCTGGAATTACAGATGTGTGCCACCACACCCGGTTTATATGATTTTTAAAAAAGGAATAATACGTAAATTTTTAAAACAATCACACCTACGGGCTTTAAGTAAAGTGCTGAGTTTATCCTCAACATTAACCAACTCACAATATGAGAAGGGAAAAATTTAAGCATCTTGAGGAACAGTTGACTGCCCAGAAATGGTTATATTTCAGTTAAAGCAGCACCTGCACCATTTAGAAGAATAACTAACAAAAGGCAGTTGTGAATGTCTAAATTATAAGGCTCTGGGGTTCTTTTATTCTGAGACTAACAGCAAGTGCTTTCTGGTCTTGCAGCTGCTACACTATTTCTAAACTACCTGAAGGCCTATTTCATTCACAACAAAGTTTGAAACCTGAGGTAATATCAGTTTATTAATCACACAGACTTTAATGTTAAACAGTAAAAGTTTTACTTTCCAATATAAATTGTTGGCCTGCAGGTATAAATAACAAATAGAATGCCACTGGGCATGCCTGGGATAAGCAATACTTTGCAGTAAAACACGTTTTGAAAATTGTTTGAATTAACTACATATGCACCCTGGGTGAAGAACAGACCAGTGAGTTTTGCCACTAGGTTTGAGTTCTAACTGCCGCATTTGAATTCTAATGTAAAAGTCTGTATAGGCACATTTCAGTTGCGGGGACACAATATCCAACACCCACAACTTAAAGGAGGACAAATTTGTTTTGGCTCATGGGTTTACTCCATGGTCAGCCGGCGCCAAGGCAGAAAGGCATGGCAAAAGCGTGCAGCCAGGAGACAGACGGAAGAGGGAAGGGCAGGGAGGGAGACGACCCTCCAACAGCGCACTCCACACAACCTCTTCTGAGAGGGCCCATCCCTGAAAAGCACAGCCAACTATGAGCTCATCGAAGACCAATCCACTGAGGAGCAAGCGTTCCAGGTCCCAGTCACCTTCCAAAAGTCCACCCCTGGACACACAGGGCACTGGGGGACCCTATGGATCTGTACCATAACAGAGTCTATGGCCAGAAGGCCAACTCTGACTAAAATGATTATTCCACTACTAAAAAGGAGGAAGTCATAATTTCTAAAGTTTTGGGTGGGATTCTATTTTAAAAGCTTCAGTATGTATGTGCTCATTAAATAAGTCTGTAAGAATCCAAACTTGCCCTGTACCCACCAGCCCTCTCCTCTCTTTATCAAACCCACCATTCCTCAGCAAATCTGTAGTCATTTGTGCTAACCTCTGTTCCCCCGAAGAGTCTCCCGTGTTCCGCAGCACTCTGCCATCCTCACCAAATTCTCGCCCGCGCATCTGTGAGATTAAACACCCTCAGTATGCGCCAACTCTTGACTTCCACTTTATCAGTGCTTTCATGGTCTATCTTCTCAGCTCACCGAAAGCCATGTCGCCAGAGCCCTTATCTGTCTTGCTCACCATGCTGTGCCCCCAGGCCCTAGCACAGTGCCTCACAGGGGTGGAGTTCAGTGAGCATTTATTAAATGTATTTTTAAATATTTGTAAGGCCAAAGGCAACACCTCATTCATAATCCTGAGTGTAAGAATAACAGGACAAAGAGCTGGAACAGAAGAAATGACAAAGCGGCCAACAAGTTAAATAATCCATGACCCAAACAGTTTCCAATTTTAGAAGGCAAATTTTAGGGATTTAGTATTACTACTGTATGGACCTTAAATATCCTCCGACACCGCAGGTGTTTAGGTTTTAGTTCACAATGCAACAACATTCAGAGGTAGGGCATTTGAGGAGAGACTGGATCCCAAAGACTCTGACCTCACCAATGCATTACTACACTGATGGGATCATAACCAAAGAGGGTGGGGGAAGCAGGTCACCGGGGAACCTGTCCTGCAAGGCTGTATCTTGTCCCCGGCCCTTTCCTTTCTCTCCTTGCTTGCTGGTGGCCATGAAACAAGCAGCTTCCTCCAGCACGCTCTCCTCTGCTGTGACTGGTGTTCTGCCTCACCTGAGACCCACAGCAACATGGTCAAGGGACTGCAACCTCACAAACCGTGAGCCAGAATAAGTCGTTCCTCCTTCAGGTTGGTTCTGTCGGGTATTTTGTCACAGGAACAGAAAGCTGACTCACACAATTACTAAGCTACAAAAATTATGGTCAGGGATATAGCTCAGTGGCATAAGCACCCGCCTGGCAAGCACGAAGTCCTGAGTTCGATTCCAGGTACCAAAAAAAAAAATTATGAAATATGTGTAATATCATTAATTTCCTTTTCACAAGATTTTCAATAAGAAAAAATAAATTTAGTCTAAATTAGAGCTTTTTGTAAGTTATTAACAATATCTGAGACAATGGCATGATTGTATTAAATATTATTGTTATAATTAAGTGCTGGAATACTACAGAAACAAAAGAAATATTTTTGAGAGAAATATTCCATGACTGGATTAGGAAATTGGCTAGAGGAGGAAAAGACAGGTACACAACAAAGTGGAAAGTGGTAGGAGTCAAGATACGTGTAACAGTTTAAAAAATTGAGGGTTTTGATCACTGAAAATGTTCTGCTCACTGGCATAATGGAAAGCTGTGTTTTGTTGGATTTCTGAAGGGAACACTAGGGACAGGGTTTCAATGATTTAAGTATAAGAAGCTAAAACATCAGATCTATCTGTTCTTAAAAACAAGATATTAATAATTAGAGCAGTAAGCAGTGACAGCTGCAGTGCAAATACTATCGGCGCTAAAACTGGATGGCAGGTATATAAAGGGAAGGAAGTACTTTCAAAAGAAACAGCAGGCCAGTAGTAGAGATAAGAGGTAAAGCAGTCAAGGAAATCCTAGAAGCCTAGATCAAAAAGGGTGCTAAGAGAAAGGCCAGGGTGCTCTGGCAAAGACATCTGAATGGTTCCTGGGTATGTTCACAGAAGTGCAGCTTATAAACAATGCGGCACCGTATCAATCTGACCAGGGTAGGCCACAGTAGAAACATGACCTTATTGTTAAAACGTGCTGCTTCCAATCAGTCCCGGCACTGTGACCTAAAGGGCTTCTTCAGGAAGTCCGAGCTTACTTCAAGTAATCAGGCTCATAACTGCCTGAAGATGCTCTTTCACCATCGGATAATTGGCCTAGATCCTGAGAACTGCCTATGAGAGAGTTCACGTCGCTCCCATCCTCCGTGGTCCTCAGCTTACAAACGTGTCTTCCAGCAAATTGCTTCCACTTGCTATACAACTTCATGTTGTTTCATTTCTTAAAATCTTTTTCATTACAACACTTTTACCTGTTTTAAGCACTGTAATTTTTTCCTTCCTCCCACTCTTTCTCCCTCCTTCCTGGCCTCCCTTCTTTTCACACGCGCTGGGGATCAACTCAGGGCCTTATGCATATTATACATGGTGCTGCACTACTGAGCTATACCCTATCCCTAAGGACTGTCATTTCTGTTCCTCAAATTGCTAAATATTGACAGCTGAAGGTTTGGAAGTACGGGGGCGAGTATAAGAAAGGGCGGTCTCAGTACTGAGACTCTCTGAGAGACTTCTGCATGTCTGTTTTCATGAGTGTGCAAGATGACGCCCCCAACGGCAGTGCTCCCCATGACTGCCGTATCCCACTGCAGCCTCACGCCTACTTGGCGGTCTGATATTATTACCTTGGCTCCCTTTCAGCATTACTAAGCTCATTCTCCAGCGGAATATCTATTTCAGATTGTTTGCTCTTAGAGGTATTGGCTTGCATCTACTTAGGTTAAAGCTCGCTATTTCTCGGATACTTCTGAACCTTGTTAGGTTTTTATGACACTTTTCTTGTTTCACTATTTGAGACGATTCTCAGTTTACTGTAATGTGTAAAACTAGATGACACACCTCATTTCTAATTTTAGATTTTAATGAAAATGCAAAGGAAGACCAGGTGATGTAAAGAAAAGAAGCTATATTTCATTTTAGTAAAAAATGACTTTTTTCCAGTAAAGTTACACATTACTGACCTGTACATCAGTAAACTTGAGTTACTTATACAAATTATCACTCTAGTAACCTTGTGACTGGCTTTCAATAAAAATTAGCATATTTTTTTCAGCAGCATTTACTTTTACATAATATATATACTCCACTCAACTTCATTCATTCATTTTTTGGGATTAAGTTAATATAGAAGTAATGATTATTGAAAAGAAACAAGAGTAGAATTTTATTTTATTTATTTATTTATTTATTTTAAGAGTAGAATTTTAATTTAAATTTCAGCTCTTGGGCCAGGGACACAGCTCCTGCCTGGCAAGTGCAAGGTCCTGAGTTTAATTCTCAGCACCAAAAATAAATAAATAAATAAAAAATATTTCAGATCTTAAATGTATTTCAACTTAAAAAATTCAAATGTCTTTGATTCTCAAAAACTGTAGAATAAAGTCATTGGTTTTAATTGAATGAAAGGCACTTTAACTAAATATCAGTGATTCAAAGTCAATATTTTAAATATTACCTACTTGTACTTACGAGAATTATATACATTTTTTCCTGCTGGCCTGTTTGTAATTGTTGTTTCTTATGCTCAAAACATTTTAAAATATAATTTAGCCAGAGAATTTCAGGGTATTTATTTCCTTAACACTGGGTTTACATAAATATAAAACTTCTATTTTATATCCTTGTGCACTTAGCATCACTCCGTTGATAGTGCCAGCTTAAAAGCATTTTAAAAATCAAATCCACTAAAATGTGTTCCCTTCAGTGAATTTCACATTGCATTCTGTTCAATTTTCACGTTGCTTTTGACTCAAGAAAACTTGAAGAAAACACATTCTAACCCAACCCAGGCAAG